TTTGACCCCCCCACCCCTCCGGAATTTCCAATTCCCTCCGTGGTGGGGGTATGGATATTTTCTGGAACTACACTATATATATATATTTTTTTTAACCTAACAACAAATTCTTGTAACTAATTTGAAAGGAAACGTGTAGCTGCTAAAAAGGAAAGTTAACAACCAGATATTGGGAGTTAAAGGGACCTAAAGTTAAATTTCATCACTGTTAAAACTGAGGAGTGCAGGGGAGAGGGGGGATGCTCTATAGTGCTAGGTCCTAGATAGGTCAAATGTCTCACAACTGCTGAGGTATGCTTTTCTAACTGACAGTAGCATTGCCTGCGGTGACATCACATGATGCATGCAATCACTGTCCCAGCCATTGGTGATGCATTTAGCAGTTGAGTAACAATGGCTAAAGGCAGGTGTCAGGAGCCTTTGAGTAGCTTCAAACTGAGGCTAAGGTAATGAAACCTCACACAGAAAAAGTCCAGGTCAGGGTTTGAGTGTGGAGTGAATCATCTCATCTCAGAAAATCAACTGAAGCTGTTTATGAAACCACAGAGCCCTTTTCTCCAATAGGGAGGGTAACAAACAATGATGATGATAATGTTGATATCTGCCAGATCATATATCTTGAGCAAACACTGATCATATTGAAATAGAAGAATTTCACAGGCATGAATCTCAGTTCCAGACTTCTTGTTCACTGACCATTACAGTCAATTTTACAGTTGTGTGCTTGGTTGCCAAGCCTTTGAACAGGAGTGACACTAAGGGTGACCTAATGTCAGTTATGATACAAACCTTGATGCTTTTCAAAAGCAAATTACTCTGTTTTCAAATATTGCTAATTTAGATTTTGCTCTTTATCACAACATGGTCAACTTCAGCCTCACTCCAAATCAAAGGCCTGGCAAATAAATACACAACTGTAAAATGGCCTTTTAAACTTAAGGTGAAAAACAGGTAGGAATTAATTTCCAACAAAAACATTCTAATTAATCTAAATTAGCAACTTGTTTGCACACACAAAACCACCATATGTATAGTTCACATTTAAAACACAAAGAGCTCTGTTGCCCTCATAGATTATTTAAAAAAAAAAAAAGGTTTTAATCAAGAATGCCTTTAATGTAGCTCTTTTATTTTGAAACAGATTGCTAAGAGATGGAAAAAAAGAGAAGTGAGGTTTAGGTCCAATGCACTAGCGATGACAGAATTTTCAAAACTTTTCAAAATATGGTCAATGTGTTGTACATTGTAATTTCGTGTCTCATTTGAATTGTAGTGATAAAAAATTTATGGTCTCTAAAGGAAACTTGTGTTTAAAGATACACAAACCATGGACAAGCAAATCTTGTGATGCTTTTAGATTCTGGTTACCACAATAATCATTACACATCAAAATAAATTTTTAATAAGTTTGCTCACCTGGCTAACTCTTTGGCTGTCTTTTTTTCATTTGCCCCAAATGTGGCCGCTGCACTTCCACTTTGAATAATAACTTTGTGGTAGAGCCCATAGCTGAGGGGTGATAACATGTGTAAGGCAACACTTGCTGCTCCTGCAGAATGACCAAAGATTGTTACATTCTTTGGATTTCCTCCAAACCTGTGGAAGAGTTAACAAAGTATAAAGTACTTGTGACTGAAATCTAATTCAATTGGAAAGATTTGGGAGCAAACATGTAAATGTGGAGTTTAACTTGCTTTATTGCTAGGGATAAACTTGCAAAGCTGGTAGGAATCGAAACCTCCCTAAACCAATGAAATGTTTCTTTATCTAATGTCACAAGAGTAGGACAAGGTTAAAGTCATTAGTCTCCTTAAGAAATTGAACCCCAGACCCTCAGAAGTAAGTTAAGATTTTTGCTTGGATTCATCAATGCCACATCATTTACATCATGCAAATGCAAAATAGTCATCGAAGCTGATGTTCCATTCTAGAGTGTTTTGAGCAGTCATCCACCAATACTAATGAGAGGAGATATGAAACATGGCAAAAGATAGGAAGAATGGTTAAGAGCTCCTGACTGACTGCAGTGTAACTTAGATGATAAATTGATATATAGCTATGGGTGGGAAAACTTTAATTACAGAACAGAGTTCAGATTAACATGCTTCTTCAGGCATACATTATATCAAATTTTAAACCCCTTCATCCAGGGGAAGTGGGTGGGGGGGGGGGGGGACAGGGACTAAGGTGCGGTGGGGTGGGAATATAGCTTGATGGCCTTTTACAAAATACTCCTTCACTTGTTTACAGTTAAGTACCCCAGTCTCTCTTAAACCCTTAACTCCCAGATCAAATTTGTAATTCTCTTTACTGTCAATCATATAATTCTTATAATATTAGTTCAGAGAATTTAGCATTTATTGGATCAACTAATTATCCTCAAATTGATATTTTTCTTTATTCTCATCACTTATCTGGTTGATTTTGTATTGATATTGTAAGGATAAATTCTGTCTTGGTCACTCATGGGAGTTTAAGGGTTAACCTTATCCTTCAAATAGGGAGTAAGTAAATGCAATAACTCACCAAGCCCCACAATTCCTTGAATTTTATTACTTTCACTTTAATAAGTACCCTGTGCAAGAAGCCATCTATCCCCTTGACTAAAATTGTAAATATACAGGACTTACTTCTCCCTCAATTTTTAGAATAGCATGGATACAGGAGATAGCTTATTTATAGACTTCCATGGGAAATAAAACTGTTGGTTTCTTTTTTTCGCATGCATTTAGCAAAAATAAAGAAACATGAACATGACTGTGTTAATTTCTTCTTTGAAAACTTATTGGGTTCTATTATCTCCCGAAGAGAGCTTTTATTTCCCCTTCTTATTTAGAGTTGACTATCAGCATATCGGAACTTCACGTGAAAGTCTCAAGGAAGTAGGTGGGGGGAGGCAAACAGCATGGAGAGCAGAATTTCTGCTTGTGACTAATGTTACTGGAGTGTGGCATAGGTGATATAGATAAATTCATGACGGTAACTGAGCAATTCAGATCTACACAATGCACACTTTGAAATTTCGTTACCTTTCAATGTTTTGCTGAACCCACTGCAAGGCTTTCACTTGATCTAAAAGCCCAAAGTTACCGGGGATCTCCTCTGATCCAGTGGACAAAAACCCTAGTACACCGAGACGGTAATTGAATGTAACGACTATCACTTGTCCTTCGGTAGCGAGGTATTGACCATTGTAGACATGGTATGCAGCACTTCCTACGGAAAATCCACCTCCGTAGATCCACACCATGACGGATAATTTAAGACCCTTCTCTGTCTCTTTGTCTCGCGGGATAAAGACATTTAAATTCAGACAGTCTTCTGCTGTATCTTTCTCTGTCGAGTTTACGATCGGGGAAGGGTTTTGAGGACATGCCTGCCCGAAAGAAGTTGTGTTCTTTGTATCTTTCCACGGGGTCGGCGATTGGGGAGCCTCGAATCTTCCTGCTTTTGCAAACGGTATTCCAAGATATTGTACGAGGGTCTTGTTCGTGTTCAAGACAATAGCTTCCCCGCGTACAGGACCAGAAGTTGTGTTTACGATCGTAGGAGGTGGGGCGTATTCGCTGAAGCTGGAAGCTACCGAAAGGATACTTACTGTTCCAAACAAAATGAAGACGGAATAGGCCATACCTTCTTCTGTTATAATGAAAAGCCAGCAGCGAAAAAGGCAAAAGAATAGCAATCAACGTGTACAATAACACGACCGTGTGAACCAGACGGGAGAATGGACTGAAAGCCGGAAGTAGCTCTCAAAATGAAAGTCTTGCTGTAGATCAGTTGATATGCCGTAAAAAAAAAATTATATAAAGCTATTGCTTGGATGAAAACTTGCTCTTTCAACCTTGACAGGTTACTACGACGGACGAAACCTCCATAAATTACATTTTATTTAATTGATGAGGCTCACAAAGCTACCACCAAAACTCAGTCTGGGGATCTGGTAACTACGTGCACGGCGTGTAATGAGACCAAATTCCGTAATTAAGGAATGCTTTTTTTTTCTTCAAAGGGTTAAGTTTTCCTTTTTTCCTCTCTTCAGGGCCATAACAAATTACTGCGCAACGGGGGTGAGATTGGCAGTCTGTCATGCAGTTGTGCAGACAGTTGCGCTCGTGTCACGCAAGGACTCCCCGGCGCGTGTAAATCCACGTAAAATTCTCCCTAGCGTCCTACGTAGACCTTGTAGGGCTCGTAACGCCACGCAATCATTCCACCCCACCGGTGATTGCATGACGTACGAGCCTATTAGGAAGTTAAATTCACGTGAATAATCATGTTGAAAATTGAAATAAATGAAATATAAGAATATTTTAATAAAATAATAATAATGTTAATAATAATAGTAATAATAATAGTAATTATAATAGTAATTATAATAGTAATAATAATAGTAATACTACTATTAATATTAATAATAGGGGTAAATAAATGAACCCTGATCGATGAATTTCGTTTCTTCAAAACGCATAACCCACCACAGATGTAGTTAGAAAAGAACGCTTTTAACAGAGGCACGAAGTCATCCAACATGCTTTTCCGTAATTTCTTTCATAGGAAACGAGATACTTGGGCCTACCCTCCCGTTACACGCATCATGTTTCGATCACAAGACTTCATTAATAATTCGTTGGAAACTACATGTCTACAGATGTCTACTCATGTCTACACGAAACTACATGTCGAGTACTATCCTCGTACCCAGACCTTTCACGACCTGTAGGTTGTACAGCTTCTGTGCAGTTCCAGTAATAGTTTCACGTAAACGGTAATATCAGAGCACGAGATTACTCAAGTCCTAGTAAATTGTGTTTTAAATCTGTATCGAGAAATTACTCATTAATCACTGATGGGAGCGGCAAAGTTAAAATTTAATTTGGTGCCAGCTGTTTCAAACTGTCTCTCTGCTCCCCTCCCATCTTCCCTTTGGTTGCATGCTGGCCTGACTTTCGCAATTTGAGGAAAAAGAGAAAAGAAAGAAAGAAAGAGGAAACAAAAGCACCACTTTTCAACGTTTCATTTATAATCAACATATTGTACTGCTCAAACAAAACACACTGCAAATACCGACAGCATTTCGCAATTCCATACTAAGACAGCAATATTTTAAAAATTCATTATTTCAAAATTACCTTTAACTCATCTTAGATAGTGCATATTGATAGTACATCTTGCAAATAGCAAAGTAGAGTGATAAAAATATATTAATGAGTAGCATAGAACTGTTTTCGATTGACTGTCGTAAATCCAAAATCAAATCCAAATCAATCGCAACAGCCAGAAGGTTTGCGTCATAATTAGCCAATGAGCACTCGAAGTGATGAAAGGAAATATGGCAAAAGCGCGGGAAAAGCGGGTAACCAAGTAATCACTGGTTTTCGTTTGGCGTCTGATTGGTTTAGAGCATGGACCAATCACAGACCAAAGTAAAGCAAACCCGGAATACTTTTGTAACTTAATTGAAAACTGCTCTATCTAGAGTTCAAAATAAGTGCATTAGCTCGTTTTTACGACATAATTAAAAAGAACAAAAAAAAAAAAACAGAACTAAGTCATTGCATGCACATTTTAAAAACCTCCGGCCATGCAAACTAAATTTACTCCCGAAAACGAAACGATTTTTCCACGGCCTCTCAAAATATCTCAAACTACAGCATCGTAACATAGCACCTTTTAAAATTAACCCTGTAAGCCTAATAGTCAAAACACAAATTCCCGTAAGAAGTTTCCATTCTTAGTCTTAGACAAACTGTTGTGAGAATTTGTCAAGAGATCAGAGCTCGGACAGGTTGTTCAAAAAGGCGGTTTGCGCTAATCTAGGATTAACAGCTAAACTCAGTTTTGATCTCTCTTCTCTGAAAGCGTATGATCTACTAGAAGACTTGCGCGCGGTTCTTCTTAGTGTGAAGGAAAACTGGATGTAATGTAAAATAGGGAAAAAAACTATCTAACAAGTCATTAATCTAATCTAATCTGATGGAAAATTATTTCCACCCAGAATTACGTGGATCGTCTTCTGAAAAACCAAGCCGCGCACGGGGACAAGTCACTAAGTTTCAGTGACAATGCGACGAGAAAACCATTACTGATTTCTCTAAGACTTCTCATGGTAAAGATTGGTCAAGCGTCATGTAAAACTGGAGAGGATCTCCACTGTACATTAATCTTTCTGTTCTGCCAATACAAAAAGCCTACCAGAAGATATCGAAGAAAGGAATCTTTGCGCTTAGAGCGTTCGAGGACATGAAAAACTTAGGAATCTGGCACGATATTTTTATCCCACATTTCAAACTTAATAATATTCGGAAAGATTTCCGTATAACTCCATACTAATCCGTTTTTAAAAACGCAATGTATAATAATTGTTTTCGTAAATGTTTTCTTTATCCAAGAACTGTTCGCATAATGAAAGATGGGACTGAGCGAAAATCTTGCCTAATTTTCAGGCAAAGCCATTGCCTACTATTAAAATTACAATTTAGCAAATAAAAGCATTTAAACTCATTAACACATCAATATGTTCTAGCATATAAGAGGATGATATAAAATTGACTTGTAAAATCTTGTCAGAACATCAAGCCTTAAAGCTCATCGTTTGCGTATGTTCCTGTGAAATGCTGGCTATTAACATTCCTGAAAGGAGTAAGAAATGGAATTTCCCGAGATAAATCTTCACTTTGTTTCCTCATCTGTGGAAGAGAAAAAATTAAATAAAAAATAAATAAATAAATAAAAAACAGTGATTCAGTGAAAAAAATATAGGAGTAAAATTATGTTACAGCCACTACATGTTGTTTATTATTATCATCGTCACTATTAATATTATCATCATTATCAACAGTGGAAAGGGGGGGGAGGGTGGGGCATAACAAGACAATTCGGTTTTATCAACTTAGGCGATAATGTAAATTGGCCGCCGTAAAAAGTTTCTAACTGACGTTTCGAGCGTTAGTCCTTTGTGAGATTAAACGGCTAACCTCTAAAAACGTCAGCTTCAGGGACTCTAAAGTGATCAATTTACATTATCAACTCTGTTAATCAAATAGAACTGACTCTAAACAAATTCAGACAGTCAGAAAAAAGTAATTGAATTTATAGACGAGACAACTCTTACCCTTCAACTGTTGCCACAGGAGCTTCACCTGGTTCTGTAAAGAACAGAGAAAGGGAAACGTGTAAAAAGAGAGTATAGAAAAATGAAGAGGAAGAGAGGGGGAAGGCATAGCTGAAAAGAGAAGGAAGGAAGGGAAAAGGCACAGAGAAATGTGGGAAGGAAGAGAGAAAGAGAGAAGAGGAGATTAAAAGAAGGGACAAGGGCAAGAGGAGGGAAAAGTGACAGGTGGTGATGGGGGGTGGGGGGAAAGCGAGAGGCGGTGGCAGGGGGTGGGGGGAAAGTGAGAGGCGGTGGCGGGGGGTGGGAGGAAAGTGAGAGGCAGTGGTGGGGGGTGGGGGGGGAAAGAGTGAGAGGCGGTGGTGGGGGGGGGGGGAGAGTGAGAGGCTAAAAGCAAAGAAAGGAAGAGCAGAAAAAACAAGGGAGGGGAAAAAAGATGGATTAGAGCGTAAATTCAAGAAAATGGAAAGTTAAGGAGGGAAGGAGAAAGAAGAAAGGAAAGGAGGGAAGCGTGAGGAAGAGACTACCAAGGAAAGACGACAACGTAGAAAATAAAAGATGAGGAAAACTGTTCAGAATTTGTTATGGTCCGTAGTAATGCACAGTTCTTAAATGAAAGGTTTTAACTAGGTGCAAAGGCAGTTGAAAGTAAGACTGAAGATCTCCCTTTTAGTACTTTGAGTCTTCCAAGCAATAGTTAAGAGGAAGAAAAAGAAAACAACAACAACAACAACAACTAATATAAATAAAACTCTAACTGAATCAGTTAGTATATGTTTCAGTATAACCTGTACTCTCAGCTGGCTTTTCGTCATCTTTCTTTTCTTCGTCAAAAACCTTTTCTTCTTCCTCTTGTAATGGTACTTCTGGAATATCCTCTGTCCTGCGATTTCCTACAAATTGAAAAAAGGAAAACTTCAAATCTGGTTTTAAGAGAAATTTAAGACCACTCAAACTCAACCCACTGAGATACAGCTGCTCAATGAGCAGCAAGACTTGCACCATTTCTATGCCCCAAAAAGTTGTAGAAATATCACCTTCCGTGACCAAGGGCAGGTTGGGTCCACTGGAGATATTGCCTTTTCAATAATACCAAATTTCCAGGGGACAAGGAGTTGAGACTAGTCATGGAAGACTTTTCCATTATCTTAAAGCTCCATTTGTTGATTTTTTTTTTTCTTCTCATGGCTTACCATCAAGGACTTTTGATGAAAAGCGTTTGCTTGAAACACGCTCAAAATCTCGGGGATTGCGAAGGATCTCTTGGCTGTGACGCGCTTGATGCTGGGTTCGGCCGCTGAGGAAAGAGAAAAAATGCAGATTAACCCTTTAACTCCCACGATTTCATACTAAGTAATTCTCCTTACTGTCTGCCATACAATTTATATGATGTTAGTTTGGAGAATTTGAAATTGGATCAACTAATAATCCCCTGATTGATATTTTTCTTTATTCTCATTACTTGTCTGCTTGATATCATACAGATAGTAGAAGGGGAAATTCTGTCTTGGTCAGTAGTGGGACTTAAAGGGTTAATATATAAATATTCATATATCAACAAGTTCTTAGAAGTGGAAGTTTTGGTTAAAAAAACTCTTCAAAAATCAAATGGCCTCATCAGTGGTTTTAATGCAATGTGGTACCAATGGAGAGTCAAGATCTGCAGGAGAGTATTTTAGATGATCTGGAAGGCCTCCTCTTTCAAAGGTGGTCTGGCCTCCTTGGCAACTTTTGGAGTATGTTGAGTCTGCTCCAGTTTATGTTACATTATTACTCCTAACTGTTACTCTCCAATTTGGTTGACTTGGATAACTAGCACGTTAGAAGCACAATCATGATTGCACTAAGGCTACAAGCTGTCTGCCAATAAATCACAAATGGGTATGTCAACCAGTGACCCAGCTGATGATGAAACCCCAGCTTCATGCACATCATCTCATTTTCAACTGAATACTGAATGTGCGTTGTTTGAGTAGATGGTATAGCATGTTCTTAACCCTTTAACTCCCAGATCAAATTTGTCATTCTCCTTACTGTCAACCATACTATTCTTATAATACTAGTTCAGAGAATTTAGTATTGGATCAACTAATTATCCCCAAGTTGATATTTTTCTTTATTCTCATCACTTATCTGGTTGACATTGTATTGATATTGTAAGGAGAAATTCTGTCTTGGTCACTTGTGGCCAGAAGGAGGGGAGAGGGGGGACAGGGCAAGCTGCAGTCACATGTCAGTTAAGCATCAATCCCTTTTTCTCTTTTTTTTTTTTTTTTTTTTTTTCGCTTTTTTAATAATTTGTACAATGGAGAAGGGGAGCAGGGATGGCCCTTAGGCCTGAGTTCGATCTCAGACCTAGTGTCACATCGAGGTAAGAGTTGACTGTTGGTTCTCATCCTTACTCCAAGTGTTTTTCCTCTGGGTCTCCTGGTGTTCCTCCCTCCACAAAAACCAACATTCAAAATTCCAATTCAAGCTGGAAACAGTGGACAAGAAGAGCCACCTTGTGGAAAGTCCACTGATAAATTCCCATTAAATTCGCAGTAGAGACTGCATATTTTATGTTCACTGAGCACACCTGTATCTGAACTTGGAGCCTAGCTTGATAAATCCCACATCTTTAGGTGGAAGATCAGCCTGTGACAGCCGGAAGAATGAATGGTGCTCAACTCCAACCTTCCAAAGTCGCTTTGTAGCTCTTAAGCTTCCCAGTTTAAAACTCAGCACTGTTGCTGCATAGTAATCACTCTGTAAGAGACAAACAACCACAAAAGGCAAATAAAAATTCAGGTCATTTCTGACTTTGGTTCAAAGTAACAAATAAAAAAAGAAAAAAGAAACTTATCAGGTACATGTAAGAAGTTATCTTGATCTAATAGCAAAATCTCCTGACTAACTTACTAGGTTAATGTGTAGCAGCTAGAGAGGAGTAATAACAATCAGACATTGAGAGTTAAAATGTTAAGAAAGCAATTGTGCACATCCTACAGAAGCTTCATTGGATATGGAGATAATACTAGTATTGTAAACTTTCTCTTGCACCGCATGTAAGAGCTTGACTGAAATTTGTTTTAACTTGAATTATTTAAACTGCACCTATGCATATTTTGTCTGCACTTATTACGTGTCTGCCTTCATTTCAAATTTTATTAGTCATGTGTCACATAACACAGTCTGGCGCTAATCGGAAACAGAATAATACATGGCAAACAAGTAAATATATACCTCACTAGCTGCCCTGATTGTTAGGGTAAACTTCTTCTTTTTGAAAGCAATTTTCACAATCTTCGGCCTGAAATAACAACAAAAGAAGAGAATGCACAAAAATGATAAATAGAGGAAAGAGTATTAATGAAAAAGAATGAAAAGACTAACCAGATCAATAAAAAAAGTAAAACAGAACAGACAAACATGTCACACCATATGGTAAATAGAGGCAGGTTCTTGTCAGAAGAGGAATACAACTTAATTTTAACAAACTGTCAGCTGAAATTATTGCCAAAATAAATGAAGCTCAAGTGAAAATTTCTAATCTCAACTGTAACATTTCTACTCACCAAACAAACTTGTTAATCAGTCTGTTGTTGTGGAAGATATGAATGCCCCAAGCTGACACTCCAATAATTACTGGCTGCCCTTCAGCATCCTGTGGCAAGTTACGCAGAAATACAAAATAAAAATAAAGATCTTCCTTTTACAAGTAATCAAACACAAACTGATGATTTTATAGATAACAACACACGCACGCACTGATTAGAAAAATGGATTTTGACATAAACATCACCATGCAATGTTTTAGACTTTCCAATTTTTTCGTTTTTCTTGCATCACATGTAACTGTTCCTAAAGAGGAATTTGGCTTTTAGATGCTCAAAATGGCATTGCCCATTCTTAGCCTGCCTTAACCCTTTAATTACTAAGAGTGATTACTAAGAGTGACTGTCTTTAAATTTCTCCCTAAAGTAGCACTCTTGAATCATATATAAAGGTAAAGAGAATAAAGGAAAAGATCTCTCATTTAAGAAGCTCCTGATTGTTCAACAAATTCTCCTTCTCCATACTATAGGAAATATAAGGAGAATAGTGTGAAGAATATGCACACTAATGTTACGGTGTAAAGGGTTAAGAACTGTTACAGAGGAAAGGCACATACTGCAGCCTGATGAAGGTCGATTCCATACAGGGGGAGTTTCCTTGCATTATCCAGATACTGCAATTCTGCATCCTCTGGTGTCATTCCTCTGCAGGACAAAAATAGACAATAACATTTAACAGCCACTTTTGGATGTCTCCTAGGAGAGAGCAGCATCTAATTTCTCTACATAGTATCATTACTGACTTCAATATTTAGCATTTTAGCATCTAAGTAAGCTTTTGACTGTTAAACAAGCATTTCTTATTTGCATCATAGGAAATGTAAAGAGATCATTCTGCGGAATATTTAGTAAAACAATTTTTTTTTCTTTTAAGATGTGCAATATTTTATTTATTTGTGGACAGATAAATGTACTAAATAAAGTCTAAAACCAAGGTGCATTGTACTAGAAATCATTCTGTGAACAAAAAACATTGTTTTCAAAAATGTTAATAAGAAAATTACATGCAACGGCCAGTAAAATATTTTCCAGCTTAGAGTAACTGTGTAAGCAGGTTCACTTGAAATCAGAGATCATACATTGTGTACAAGACATGAATACAGTACCTGTGTTTAGCGTGAAACTGGTGTACTTTCTGCAGCATCTCATCTGGCTAGAAAAACAATTCAAATCAACCCTTTAACTCACAAGAGTAATAAGCATGAAACTTCTACCTGCAATATCCATGCAATATCCAGCAAACAGGTAACAAGACTACTCAAAACAAGAAGTCATACCATTTTCTGACAGAAGGTTCAAAGTACAAATAACAAATAAATAAATAAAAAACAAACTTCTCCACTTGGTGAACAAGCACTTCCCTGTTCGTAAATTTGATGGATGAATAATGATCTTAGCTAGTAACATTTTTTTCATCTAACTACCTGTTTTGGGCAGAATTTGAACTCTGAAAGATACCCTGCACCATCACCATGTTCATCATGATCATAGTCTCCAACTTCCGCTACAAAAGCAAGTATGAAATACTGATTGAGCTTTACAATTAATTCATTTGAATTCTTGAATGTGGACACTGAATAATAATAATATTAAATAAAGGGAGTGAAATATTCTTTCACAAACAAAATTTGTCTTTTCAAAAGCCAAAATGTTGATGCAACAAATTTGGAGTTTCAGGCAAAATCTTGAGGCTTAAAACATGAACAACTACAGTTTCAAAGAGAAATCAGGCCAAAGAGTATTCTATGCAAATTTCTAATCCAATGTAACTTTAGATCATGAAAAACAGGTATGTGTTTGTCAATTTTGTCTCGTTTTGTTTTTTTTCTTCTTTTTGTTTTGTGTTTTTCAAATGCCCATGATAAACAAAGTGGACTTAGTCTTGTGAGTGACATTCCAGGCAACCTTTTTCTGGTTAATAGTAAAACTTCAAACTTTAGGAATGTGCTAATGTTCTAAAGTGATATCATGGAGGGTTATTAACAATTGCAGCTCACCTTGCACAACAAATGATCCAAGAAGGGCATGAATAGGGATGGAACACTGTATTCTACAAGAAAAAAAAGAATCAACATTTTTTGGCTGATAAGTGTAGCTCATTTCAAGTCACTTCTCTACTTCTGACAACCTATTTTAACTATTTTGCTTTTAATGATCAACTTCCTCCTAAAAATTTTCCTCACGCCCAACAAGAGTCTTTTTAGGTGGATGGTCATGCCCTACTTGTGTCTGGGAGAACTGGCTGAACACGTGTCCTTTCCAAACATTATTCAAAGTTCTTTTCTGCAGTTTCTTTACTTGCGATTAATTTGTGAGGATCAGTTTGTTTATAGTGCTCAGGTAAAAACGTAATTTATCTAATTTATAACTTATAGTTGTCTTAATTTTTAACACATGGAAAATTACACTTCATATAGTTTCTCTTTCTAAAACATTTCACACTGCATATAAACTACTCACCTTCCTTTCAGAAGATCCTCTCTCAGTTGTAAAACCATTAAGTACCTAATTTAAATAAAACAAAATAGTAACAATAAGAAGGAAAAAATGAACTTCAAGGATAAATAATAATAAATGATAAATAATAAATAATAATAAATAATAAATGACAAAGATACATTTCCACACCAGAATAACTTACAGCTTTGCTGAAAACTACATGAAGGTTAATAATCAAACTTAACCGCTAAAACTGAACTAATTCATACATTTTCGTTTTAGTCAAAAAAAAAAAAACTGATCTATCAAAAGTATTCAAAGCCTAATTCTCTTAAATTAAACGTTCCTTCTGATTATTCTACTAGCAGTCAAAAAATAAAGTGAAACGAGATAAATTAAAAAATAAATAAATAAATAAGAAGTACATGTAACATCGCACAATATTATTTCTAGGTATTTGTAGAAAAGGAGATTCGATTAGCCCTTCATATCCCAGAAATAACTAACATGTGACTTCTCCCTAAGATATCCCCACATTTTCTAGCAAACAGTTAATGAGAAAACGAAATATTTATCAGGAAGAAGTTTTTATCTTTTTATCTTGTAGCTAATTTACTTGAGGAATCGTGTAGTAGCAAGAGGGGAGAAATAACTATCACTTCCACAGATCTTGAGAGTTCACAGGCTAATGTCTGATTTAGATGTAATTTATTTACCTGGTGATGTCTTCCACAAGGGCAGTTGGGTTTGGTGGATAAAACTTGACAGCAAAGTAGAAATGGTATGGCTCTAAGATATAACCACATGCATTTTTTAAACACACTGTCAGAAAAGATTTTTAACATAAAATGTGACCCAGCATATGATTTCTGCGACAAAGGTGATAACACGCTCACAACACGCCAACACAACACACATAGCATGTCCAATAAGTTACACACAAGTGCGCTGTATCTGCTCACACACACTGTGCATGTTTGCCTGCTCATGCTTTACTGTTCAACGGCAAACGCTCTATTGTTTGTAGTGTGTTCTAAAAGCATATAAGCTGATTAAAGTGTGCTCTCACATGCTCAGCAAGCATGGTATACCCTGTTTCTTTTGTTTACAAGTGGAAGCATGTTGTGAGTGTGCCATCACCTTTGTCCCTAAAATCATAGGGGGGGTAACAAATTTAGTTACAAAGAGTAAAATGATACTGTACAAGCCTTACCATGTTTCAATTGTTTCTTAATTGGTCTGAGGGGATCAAGCCAGTTGTACTACAACCAAGAAAAGATTGTACTGGTTTAAATATCAATGGGTATAATTATTAATTCAAGTACATCAAGGGTAGAAGGTGTTAGAGATGATTCATACGTATAAATCTATGGTACAATCCAGGACTAGCAGCCGGCCAGCTAACTATTTTCTGTTTCACCCTATTTTACCACTATAAGTACTGATGAAAAGCGGTACAATTATTACAATATCATAAAGGAATAATGCAAAGTAGCCAATTCCCAGTTTTGAGTGCAATTGAATTCATAAATTGCCAGTAACAGGTTTTGATTCACAAATCAATGCTATGTTAAGAATTTTTTCAATTAGGTTTCTGGGAACTTCATGAGATACATACTTAGGAAATTTTAAGTATGAGTTAGCAGTCTTGCATTTTAACCCATCTTCGATATATATTTTTTTGATCTTGTCATCTATATGTATGGAAATGCAATGACACTGGGATAAGAAATTTCTTTTGGCTCATTCCCAGGAGTAAAAGGGTTAAAAAAAAAACAAACAAACAAAAAAACCATATAAAGTACCTGTCCATCTTTTTCATCAATGTACCGCAAACCAAAGTAGTCCTTCTCAGCAACTTCAATCTTCTCACAGATCTTGTCAAACAAAACTAGACCCTTTGCATTTTTCTAAAAATTAAACATTGAATTTTCAGTGCTGAACATTTTCTTCAAATTTATTTCATCAACAATAACTGGTTGACAATGCTATAATTAAAAGCTGACAAGACAAGAAAGGGTGAAATTTTGTTTACAATACAGCAAGGTTAACCCTATGACCCTTTCCAGTGATTAGTATCTAATTTCTCCCCATGATATCACCCTTGAATCACACATTAAATTTGCGAGAAGAGAGGAAAATATCACCACCTAAAGAAGCTCTTGATCGTTAAACAATTTCTCTTTGTAAATGTGATCATGAAAGGCAAAACAGACACTATCGGTCATCTGTTCAAACGGGTAAAACGTTCATTACCTGTTCCTTATTCCTTCGAACGCCTCAAAAAAATCTGTTCAAAGCATTCAACAATCTGTTTGAATGGTTTGCAAATCCGTTTGAAATACATTAGCATCCTTTCAAAGTATTGCGACATCTGTTCGAACAGTTTTTGCATCTGTTTGCAAACTAGAAGTGTCAGTGCAGAGAATTGCACCATCCATTCAAACAGTTTGACATCCCTTCTATTCATCTGTTTAAAAGGAGAAAATGCACTCATCGTTTCTCAACAGCAGTTGAAACGTTAAAGCCCAAATCTATGTGACTAAATCGTATGACAAAAAATTAACTCAGCTATCATTTTAAATTGATGAGAAATTGAAATAATCTCCTTTTTTGATTGTGAGAATAAAGGCCTTGAAATTGATAACAATGACTAATGAAATGAAAACAATACACAGCAACATTGCCCGTTCCATGATCAGGCCATGTACTCAGAACAGTTTCACAAACCATTCAAAAAATTTATTCATCTGTACGATTAGTAAAACCAATTGTACGGATTGATAATATTTTCATCCATTTAAACAGCTTGCCCATGTGTTTGACATTATCTGTTTTACTCCTCCGTTCAAACGGCTAAGCAAACTATTCAAATAATTTATTCACTTGTTCGAACAGATAGGCAACTGTTTGAACACTTCAAGGACTGTTCTTTAACCATTCGTCATCCATGCATTTTTATCATTTGAACGGTTTTCCGCTACCATCAGTTTTGTCTTTCGCAGTCACAAATGCATAGAAAACAGAGTGGAGAATGTTCATACTGATATTTGGGTGCAAAGTATTCTGAGACAATCCACTCCAGAACAATTGACCTTACAATGCCGGTGTTTACAATGTTTGAGTAGATTGCCAGAGTAAACAGTAAAAAAAGACATTTTGGCAATTAAAAGAGGTGAGAGTCCAATCTTGCCCATAAAAATATACTAAATTAATTAAATTAAATACAGTAATTGGTTGTATAGAAAGCCTTCAAAAAGTCTTGAGCTGTATACAAAGCAAGCAAAAAAAGTTCATATAACAAAATGCTCAAAACTAAGTCCTAACTCAGAAAGCAAGTGTCTACATCAACTTTTAAGTCCAACACTCATGTTGATCAAAACAGGTACACACATGCGTAAAAGAATCTGCTGATCAGAAGATAGTTACAGCTATTCCAAATGAAAGCAAGTATGAAAGGCACTGTATGAAATGGCACTGGCACTGTTTTCACATACCAATAAATAAATTAAACTAAAATCCATTGATCAAGTGTAAAATTGATGTCAAAAATGGTGATGGCAAGAGAGGTTTCATGCTAGGTTGATGCTGGCAATATTTCCACACCCTTCAATAGGGATAAAAAAAAATTATGAAGACAACAGATTGTCTTTCTGAATACAGCCTTGTTTCAGAATATTATGAGTTTACACAGAAGTCTTTCCAATTCTAGTTCTATCTGAAAACTATTTTGGTTTCCTTCAGACATATAATAATCTCTACTTCAAACAAAGAGAAAACGACTCAAATCACTTAAAAAAATTTTATAATGAAGCTAATTTTAAACCATGACATATAAAATCTAATGCACTACTGAAAAGTAAAATGTTCATAAAAACATGGATTAGTTAACTCTCACATATATTCACAGCTGTATTAGGCACAAGGTGTTTACACCACGATTTAATAGAATTGGCCAAAGAACAACATTGTGTTGTTACAGGAATAAACAACAGAGCCAGGAATTTAACAAGAGGATATCAAATGACCAACACATGATTCTTTTCTTCCTAACATTTTTTCTTGACAAGGATAATGATTTTTAAGTGATGTTCTGTTCACAACTACCTTTAGTATTTGTTATTCCGCCCAAGCGACGAAAGAAAATCATGAATAAAACAGTTTAGGCAAAAATTTTTTGAAAATTAATTACTGTAATTAACGCGCGATAGTAAAGCTCGATCGTTGAATGCGTACCACCATTAAACATTTAAACAAGTATGAAAAATAAAACAGACCTTCTGATTGTTGCATAGTTTGCATTCTATCTAGGCTCATGGCATATAAGTTCGTTCGTTTTTTAATAACAGTCAAACCCTCCGCCACCAAACACGATAATGAAAATTTTGCATAATACTCTTTCGCCTTCTAATCTTTTAGTTTCCCTCGCCCATGATTAAAAAATTAGCAGGTTCTTTATCGCGTTTAGAGATTAACCGTTACCAACAAATTACATAAAATCGCTAAACAGTGACAGAAGCTATTATAAACCACAATGAATACCATTTGATGGATACAACAACATTGCATCCGAATCAAAGCAACACTAGGTCTACCGCAAAAAAAGACACAAAACACTTACATCTAGATCCAAAATCGTGCTCTGATCATCTAGCAATTGAACTTCACATTGCAACGTGCTCGACCTTCCCATTTTGGTGCAAAATGTGCGCTGATTTGAGGTAAAAGGACAAGAGAGAGAGAGTTCAACTGCGTCGAGAAGATTCGAACCCACCCCACGCCAAAACGCCTCGATTTCAATCTGTTTTGGTTCCGTTGCATTCTGGTCAGGGAAGAATCTTTTTACCGTCCTAGGTGGGTTGGGGAATAGTTAAAGACTAGTGCCCAAGCCTACTCCACGATCTGCATGCGAGGATGCCAGAAACCAGACACCAGTGAATGACAATGAGTTTGAAAGAGGTTTGCTAGGTTAGATAATCACATCATACTATAATAGCATAAAACATGATCCATTTGGTAAAATATATGATGAATTTATTTCAGAATGAATTTGAAATCTGAGCGACAGATGAGCGAACGGATTTGCTCTTTGGACCGAGACGTGACCATAGACAGCATGATTTCGACACCAAAATAACGATTATCGTTATTTCTTAATTGGCCCTAATTGGCCCTGAAATAACGAATAGCATAATTTCAGTGCATGTGTGAGACTTTCGGGCTCGAAGCTTGGGAACTAGTATTCAGGGAAAGATAAAATGGCGGCTTACGGCGGCGAAAGAAATCTCAGTAGTTTAATATTTTAGCGTTGAAAGGCTTGGGTGTTGTGATCTGGTTCTTAAGTAAAAAAAAAATCACGGTCTGCAATAGCCCTACCACCTTTTGAACAACAAGAAAACATTGAAACGGTGGTAAAAAGCAGCAAGTTTCGAAGTCTAAACGAAAGATGGGTAAGCTGAGTTTCAGTCAAATATCATGACATTTGGGATGTAATTTCGATACCGAATAAATAGTTCTACATGGTTATACACGCATAGGATTCTGTTGTGTTCACGTGAAGGCCATTTCAGCCATTCCTGCCACTTGTAAGTGGTAGGAAATAAAAGATATGATCACAGGCGGCCCAAGCTCACGTCTCGAGAAAAAGCCAACGATGAATTCATGAACGCGTCACGCGTTGTGTGACTCGGTGTTAAGTTACGGGAGGAACCGTTGAAATTTTGAACACGTTATAAGGAATAGTATGGGGAACGAAATATGGTCGATTTAAAACGATAAATATTTCGAAATATGAATATTTTACACGTAAAATCAATAAAACTTACTCATGCCCTGTGTATCCGTCGTAGTTTCTGGCGATTTCTGCCGTTTTAAGCTTGCTTTGCCATCACTGTTATCCACTTCGTCTTTTGACATGGATAACAGTGATGGTAAAGCAAGCTTAAAACGGCAGAAATCGCCAGCAACTACGACGGATACACAGGGCATGAGTAAGTTTTATTGATTTTACGTGTAAAATATTCATATTTCGAAATATTTATCGTTGGCTTTTTCTCGAGACGTGAGCTTGGGTCGCCTGTGATATGATATACTATTTAGGTACCAAATAATCTTGATACTGAAGATCATTGCATCCTATTATGAAAAAATTACCCTTGATTGCCTTGTCAACTGGAATGTATAATGTAATATACCTTGTGACTTTTGGGATTTTCACAAGTAAAATAGAAATACTTGAAGAGGGTAATGATGTACTTAATGCAGAGCATTTGGTACAAAGGCTGCTTTGCTGTAATCTACCTGAAGGTGCTTTTTATATGCTAGTAACACTTGCACAGCCCAGTCAAAATGTTTTTGAGTAGTGGACAAGCTGGCTGTAGTAATTATAGGCAGCAGAGGCCAAACCTCTTCCTGAAAAGCAGTCTGAAAAGTGTGAAGTTAGCGGAAGGTACTTCATTGTAGGCGGCCAAATTGTAAGCTGCCAGCCCATTTTGAGTGAGCAGTAAAACTCAAGATTGGCTATTTTAGCTAATTTTATTGAGAACCAAATTCCCAGCAACGGGCACATTTTTACTGGGCTATTTGTTATTTAACTACTTAGTAATATTCTTATTAAAATTTACTGCATTCCTTTCTAATAATTTGCTGCTGATTGTATGCTGTATATAGCTTATGATTTGTGTAATTTGCACAAGTAAATTGGAAATACCTGAAGATGGTAATGATGTACTAGATAATGTACTTGATGCAAAGCTATTTTGGTACAAAGTGTGTGCCTTGTCCATACGTGATTTTGCATGCTAATAAGACTTGTAATTCAAATAATATACATCAGCTGGAGTGGGAATATTAAAAGAAAAATACAGAAAGAAACATTGATAAATAAAATAAATCAATAGAAATGACAAAAATCATGGTTTTATGTCCAAATTAAGCACTTAATCGAAGATCACTGCACTTCTCAGGTCCAGAAGGCTGAAAGAGTACTGTCTGCTGTTAGTTTGATTTTTGTCATTTCTATTGATTTATTTTATTTATCAATGTTTCTTTGAATTATAATTCATTGATCTCTTTCAATAGTGCAGGTTTGCTCATGTAACCTTATCTCCCACATATGTGTGTATGTATGTATGAGCTCAGTCGAAATGTTTTTGAGTGGAAGGCAAGCTGGTGATAGTAATGGGCAGCAGAGACTGAACCTTGTCTTGAATGGAAGTGTGAAAAGTGTGAAGTTAGCGGCAGCTATATTGTGGCAAGCAGCCAAATTGTCCGCTGTGGCACATTTTGACTGGGCTGATTGTGTGTAGTATATATGTGCACTTCTTTTAGGGTGTTAAACAGGTTAAAGTACCAAGAAATCCTCTGTGATAACTTGATAATTCAAGATGTAAAAATTTTTAATAATAAGGTAAAGCTTGATCATTCTTAAGAGTTTCCATTTGTTCTGGAAATTTGGGGGAGAGTCAGGGGAGCATTATTTATACATTAATAATGTACATAAAAAGTTAAAAAAAAAGGACCAAGGTAAAATCCCAATTTGTTTTAAGAGTTGATTTTATTAAGAGAAAACCCTGGATATAGCTTGGGATTTGTGTGATTTTCACAAATTGTTAGGTTATCATGTAAACTTAATTTACAGGAACCTTGTTAATTTTCAGCTTCAAGAACACAAGTAGATGATCTTTAGTGCTGCCCTCTTTTCTCCCCGCCATTATTCTAATTTTTTTTATCAAGTTTCCTTTTTCTTGTGTTCAATTAATTTATTGTCTTTACAGGTGAAATCTTAATATCTGCTAGCACAATTATCTCTGCTAAGAGTGTCTACCATCACTCTTGCCGGTCTCAAGCCCAAAACGCTGCAAACTAGCTGAAACTAAATGTATTTCGTAAAATTGCAATGAAATCTATCTAAAAACACCGAAATCCGGTAGAACGCAGGAGTTTTTGCCAAATTTTACGTAAAAGTTGACAAAAGCGCTCAATTCGAACTGAAAAACACGTTTTTTTTGTTGTTGCAAAAATTAGCCTATTTTACATTCAAAAACACGATGTCTTTAACAAAATAGGGATACAATCCATGTGAAAACACTTATTCCAGCTAAAACGCAGTGTTCTCAGTAAAATTTTGGGGAAAAACGCGTAAAAACCGTCAGAAACACAACAAATTGGGCTGATTTTACCCACTTTTTGTGTAAATAGCTGCCAAAACCCTCAAAACTAGCTGGAACTACATGTTTTTCACAAGATCGCCATAAAATCTTGAAACGTTGCTTTAGAGACCTTTATGCCTCCAAAACGAGTTTTTACTTTAAAAAAAATGGAATGAACAAAGATGTTAAAGGGGAAAAAGCTGTGAGAAAGGAGAAGTTTAGTGTTGCTGTTTGATATGCCGCCCAGATATATCAATTTATTAATTTAACGCCTTTAGCCGTGGGCAGAAGTTTTTCTCTAGACTAAGAGGATCCTCCCTATGTTGATGAACCTCAATAATTCGTTGATTTTACTGTTTTTGCACAGATTTGATTTTAACCATATTCGCCAAAATAACTGCTAAAACACGGCAAACCAGTATCTCAGCCAAGAGCGATATTGGCCATTTCACACATCCTTATTAGATATGAATTTTATTGAAGATTGTCATTCTAGCATATGTTGGCTAGTTTCCACAGCTTTCTTGACTTTCATGGGAAAGTGGCATTGGTTGGTACCATGACCAATCTCCTCGACTTTCCCATGATTTTCATAGGATGTCAGCATCGACCCATACTTCGAACCTCAGTTGTTTTTTTTTTTTTACATTGGCGCGAGTTTCACAACTTTCTTGTGGTTTGGCATTGACTCAGAGTTGGGCTTATTTTTATGGCTAATCCATCGGCGACTTTCTCATGATATTCTTGGGTTCTCAACAGTGACACGCACTTTGGAACCATAATTTTATAAATATGTCAACACTGGCAAATACTGCTAAAATCTACACTCTACTAAACTCCATGTACCACAATATCCACACAACTGCGTGTGCCTACTTGAAAATCCTAACCCTAACCTTAAAACTATCCAGTTAGCCAAGTATTGTATTGCTGGTTTGAGAGACTAAACTGGCTCAAATGATCCAGCTGCTTAAAAATCTAAGCACAGAGTAAGTTTAAAAGATTCAATTTTGTAAGGTTTCGAAACAGTTCCAAAATTAACATGCACATAGCTCAGTGTAAAACATCGAAGCTTCTAGGACTTCTTATGATTCCTACGAATGTACACACCTAATGCACGTCAATTTGCCTTTGTTGTCCTCGAACGATCACGTCTTCATGGTAACGTGGTGTAAGAACTGTACAGCACTTTATATATATATATATATGTTTTACTTGACGGTAAAAGTTTGAATCCGTACAAGGAAACGTAACGGAAACAGGCGACGATAATATTCCGTTGACAGGAATGCAACGGAAACGTGTCGTCATATTTCCGTTCAGGAATCATAACGGAAACATAACAGGTCCAAGGAAGAAGTGAATGACGTGGAAACATAGAGTTTCATTTTTCCGAATTACGGAATCATGCTATTTCGTCCTGTGCTCACTCTAACTCTGTGCTATCCTAAACCTAACCCAAACCCCAAACCAATCCTAAGCTATGGTAAAGGGTTTAAGTCAGGTTTCAGGGTTGAGGATAGGGTTAGGGCAGGAGCCCATTACCTGGTTAGGGTTAGAGTTTGGGTTGCTTCGGGTCAGAGGGGTTTAGTGTTACAATCAGGGTTAAGGCTAGGGTGAGGCTATGCTTAGGG